GTTGTACTAAACTAAATTATGGAAACTTAAATTTATCTAGTCGTTCAAAAGTTACACATATATTACAGTACTACTACACTGAATGACACTCTCTTATCTGGCATTCCGTTAACTGGCAACTTCCAATTTAAAGGATTTTTCTGCTAACGTCACTATTAATGGCATGTTCAGTCACCATGCAGTTATCCAGTTGGCCACAGGCACACTTCTACCATATTTCATAACATTTAAACAATAATCACCCTACTCTAGGCTCTAGGGGTGAGTTTGCATCCATTGTTTATGTATGGCATTACCCATTACTTTCTTGTTCTGTATGCCAAAAAAATTCTGGGTGTTAAGCCCAGATCCAGTTACGTAACCCTACAACTCCTGTCAAACATTTTCCATTACCCCAATATTACCACATCTATGTAAACATTCAAATATATACATTATATCCTCTGAAAACATTCTCTTGGTGTCTAAATTACAGTTTTTGGCCTTGGAAAATATATTGGCAGTACAATATCACCATGAGATAGGAATTTCAATATAATTTCACAGGTTTTCCTCATATGATGTTCATACTGATGTCTCTTTATTGCTTGTTGACATTGGCAGTGCATGAATTGATGATAAATGAGAAAAGGTATTAGAAGAAAACAATAGATAAAACAAACAACAGATAGATGTTATTTCATCATTGTTTCTTAAGGCCCTTAGAATTTGTAGTCCTCAACAACTAATGTAGAGACAGAAAATAAAAAAACAAATAAAGTTTTTCTTGACCTAGAGTATCCAGAACTGCTCAGAATGAAAGCATATTTTGAAGTCATGAAATTTTTATTTTTTGGCACCTAATTTGCCCTACATATACATAGTACCTGTACATATTTTTGTCCTATGAATTAAAGCTAAGTGTTATCAATTCAGTAAGCCCGGATCTTGATGTAAATATTGCCTTTAGATATACACTAATACCCCGATTTACGCGGTTAATTGAACCCACGGCGGCCCGCGTAAAGTGAGAAACGCGTAAAGTGAACAACATAACTTATGGGATAAATTGAAATAGAGACCGGGCCGACCCCCAAACTCCACTTTTTCCCGACACAATACGTACGTTTTACTAAAAATAACATCTTAACTTTATGATGGTATTCACACACACATAATATACCGTATATCTCGGCCTATAAGACGGAATTTGAACCATAAAAAAATCAGCCCAAAGTTAGGGGGTCCTCTTAAGCACCAGATATAAAATTCTTACCTCTTAAATATTAACCGTGTCAAGAGTGGTGATGGAAACATGGTAAACCACTCACAAGGTCCTACCACTAATTATTTTATACTGAAACTTACGTTTGGGAAGCTGGATTAAAATGAAGATTACCGGTATATTAAAATAATAAAAATGTATTATAAACCTGTCTAACATACCGTAAAAGAACAATAAACAATATACCCTGGTAATAAACACAACTGCTATCATCATCCCCATTTGCCAGTGACAAGAAAGGGAAAGTGACCTTGACTGTGACGGCCTGTGGCTATTTTTAGCCGTCCTTGTGTTCGGGGGTGGTCAGTAATGCATATCTGTATATTTACTGATCATAATACTTATCTCCTATAAATAATTAATTTAAATTTAATTTTTTTACAAAGAATATTCAGTAAATGACTGCATTAATTCTTGAAACCACTGACAGTGGTAAATTTAGGATATAATTTATGAACAGAAGTCACGTCATGGATTCGGAGTTTGGTTCTTAATGATCACCATAAATGTCTGGTCAACTTCACCTACCAGATATAATGGTAGCCTCCCTTTTTTGCAAAACAAGTACAGTGAACCCTCGCTTTACGCAGCTTCACTTTACACGTTTCTACATTTACGTGGTACCCTGCCAGAACCGGAATTCCCACTTTACGCGGTGCATCTACTCATATACGCGGGTGAAGTATAATTTTTATATTTAGATCATAAAATTCATAAAAATTATCCGGCCAGAAGATAATTTACATTGCTGGAATTCTTACAATTTGAAGATCATTTTGAATATAAGCATCATAGATTTTGCATTAGACATACAAATTTTAGATCTAATGCAAGTACTGTATTTTGTTTACTCAGAGCAAATATGTTATCTTTTGTACATAATATATGAAGTGTATATTCAAAATATTCCTGGTCTTGCAAGGAATCAAGCAATGTCAATTATATTATCCTAACTTTAGTCTGAGGTATTATTTATTACTAAAAATGTAAATATACTGTTATAACCCAATCATTTCTCTGGTAGGGAGGGAAGGTGGGGGTGAGGGGTAGGGAGGGAGGGAGGGAGGGACCCAGGGAGCAGGTGGGAAGAAGGGGGGAGGTGGGGTATTTTGATTGACAGATAGTACAGTGGTCCCTCGGTTAACGAGCACAATTCGCTCCAGCAGGTTGCTCGTTAACCGAAAAACTCGTTAACCGAAACCATTGTTTCAATGGGTTTTTGGGTAATTGGTTCCAGCTCACCGAAAATTGACTAAATTCAACAAAAAAGGTAGAAAAGTACACTTACTTTGAGGTGTGTATGTAGAAGGCCCCTGGATGATGATGATGATGATGGGAATTAGAATGGGGGTGGAGGAGAAGGGAGAAGAGAAGGCATTGGGGTGGAAGAGAAGTCACCCCATGGCACCATTTCACTCATAAAATTTTAGTTCTCTTGGTGTAATTCAAGATTATTTTCTTTAAATCAACACTGCACTGCATTATATATTTTCAATATGTAAAATAAATTTCAAAATGACCTCCACTGAAAACAGAGAGAGACTAACGCCTGTCTGGTGTGTTCACATGCTGGATGGCATGCCGGAAACTAGTTTCTTTACCTTCAATTATGTTCAATAATTGTTAAAATGACTAAAAAAGTTAATATTAAACTTTTAAAATTATTGAATAGTATAAACTTCTTGATATTTACTAAAATAGTAAGGAATTTAAGCCCTAAAACCGATTACTGTATTGGCGGACTAATACTACAGCTGGTGGACCGCCAAATGCAAGCGAAAACATGTTGAAGTCGGCTCGTAAAAAACTCGTTAATCGAGGGATTGCTCGTTAACCGAAGTTAAGAATCTTATGGAAGGTAAATCGTTAACCGAAATCTCGTTAACCGAGGCGCTCGTTAACCGAGGGACCACTGTATTTCGGTAAGTATATTTTGTTTATTTATTGAAGATATTTGTTTTAGCTCATAAAATTCATACAAATTACCGGGCCAGAATATAATTTACATTGCTGGAATTCTTACAATTTGATGATCATTTTGAATATAAACATCATAGATTTTGCATTAGACATACAAATTTTAGATCCACTTTAAGTATTTTGTTTACTCTGAGTAAATATGTTATCTTTCGTGCAAAATATATGACATTTATATTCAAAATATTCCTGGTCTTACAAGGAGTCCAGCAATGTCAATTATATTATCCTAACTATAGTCTGAGGTATTATTTATTACTAAAAAGGTAAATATTCTGGTTTCTCCCACTCATTTCTCTGGTAGGGAGGATTGGTGGGGGGGTGGGGGGGGGGACTGACGGACCATCTAGCGCGGTTGGAAGAGGGGGGGAGGCAAGGTGGGGTACTTTGATTGACAGATAGTGTCATGAAGAATATTTTTTTTTTATTAACTGAAGATATTTGTTTTAGCTCATAAAATTCATACAAATTACCCGGCCAGAATATAATTTACATTGCTGGAATTCTTACAATTGATGATCATTTTGAATATAAACATCATAGATTTTGCATTAGACATACAAATTTTAGATCTACTTTAAGCATTTTGTTTACTCTGAGTAAATATGTTATCTTTTGTGAAAAATATATGACATTTATATTAAAAATATTCCTGGTCTTACAAGGAATCCAGCAATGTCAATTATATTATCCTAACTTTAGTTTGAGGTATTATTTATTACTCTACCTTAAAATCTAGTGGTTTTCCCCCAAACATTTTTCAGAGAGGGAAGAGCCAGGAGTGTGAGAAGAGGGGAGGGAGTTGAGTCCATTACAGTGACCCCTCGGTTAACGAACTCAATCCGTTCCAGAAGGTCGTTCGTTAACCGAAAAGTTCGTTAACCGAAACCATTGTTTCAATGGGTTTTTGGGTAATTGGTTCCAGCTCACCGAAAATTTCCTAAATTCAACAAAAATGGTAGAAAAGTTCACTTACTTTGAGGTGTGTATGTAGAAGGCTCCTGGATGATGATGATGGAATTTAGAATGGGGGTGGAGGAGAAGGAAGAAGAGAAGGCATTGGGGTGGAAGAGAAGTCACCCCATGGCGCCATTTCACCCAAAAAATTTTAGCTCTCTTGGTGTAATTCAAGATTATTTTCTTTAAATCAACACTGCACTGCATTATATATTGTCAATATGTAAAATATATTTCAAAATGACCAATAATTTGCTTGGAAACACAGAAAAAAGTGTTTAGTTGAAGAGAGTCTGAAGCAAGATGTTACCTCCAGTGAAAACAGAGAGAGACTAACGCCTGTTTGCTGTGTTAAGAGGCTGGATGCCGCATATTAAACTAGTCACTTTACCTTCAATTATGTTCAATAATTGTTAAAATGACTAAAAAATTGAATATTAAACTTTTAAAATTATTGAATAGTATAAACTTCTTGATATTTACTAAAATAGTAAGGAATTTAAGCCCTAGAACCGATTAATGTATTGGCGGACTGATACTAAAACTGGTTGCCCGGTCAGTGCAAGCGAAAACATGTTGAGGTCGGTTCGTAAGAAATTCGTTAACCGAATTTTTGTTCGTTAACCGAATTGAAGATCCTTATGGAAGGCAGTTCATTAACCGAAATTTCGTTAACCGAGGCGTTCGTTAAACGAGGGGTCACTGTATTTGAATGGACATTAACTTGGCGACTGTATTTCTCTTAAGTATTAATTGTGTGCATGTACCATCATAAAATTAAGATGTTATTTTACTAGAACAT